TACATACATAAAGACTGTAAGGTGTAATCTTTGGTCTCAAGAAGTTTAAGCCTTGGTCAGAATATAGTACATACAAAAATATCTGTAGTACAATAAAAACTGTCTCAATTACCTATAACTATATCTCTCTCTATATATTCTATAATCTATGTTCTATATATACCTATATGGTATATTCTATAAACTAGTGGTAATAGGACAATTGAAATAGGAGAAAACAGGTAATAAGAAAGTAGGTGAGCCTACCTAGAAATGTGTGTACATGTATGTATATACTATATAGCATAATAGAGGCAGCTAATGTTTATACACACCAGGTACGTTTCTAATACAGAATAACAGCTGCCACCTCAATTTGTTTATTTTCTAAATTTAGATCTAGATGTGTTAGGTGTTCTCAAAGGAAAGTAACCCAGTATACCCTGAGATATGAAATTTGAGGAAAAGGCTTTTGGGTCACTTAAAAGAAGAATTTGTGTTTATGTCAATACCTTCTTTCTAAGTTCTAAATAATTTCAGAAGTATCTACCCAACTCAGTTCCTTCTATTTACCATTCACTATGCAACATTTCTTGATTGCTGAACATGCACTGTTTAATTTTCCAGTGGGATACCATTCACAATTTAAGGCAAAAAGATTTCTTTGGTGAACTTAAAATTTGAATTTCCTGAGATAATGCTGGTAATTTAACATTTAAAATACTAAAACAGCTTTTCTTTGCTAATAGTTGCAGATTCAGATCAGGAAAACTTTCAGTAAAACAATTTATGATTCCGAACACTGTTTTTATGAATGTCAGTTATTTCAATTTTAATTTATAAACCATTATATATGAAACACATTTGTTAGCAATTTTTTTTTTCCCCTTTCCACGGGTCTAGAGTACTGGTAATATATACTAACATCAAGATATAAGTAAAGTACCTTACAGATGCGAGTCGGCATCCTTCTACATTGCTCACCTAAATTTATTAGTCATGTTTCACTATTTTCTTCATTTAAGAAACCTGTACCCAGGAACTCTTTTCATGTGAACTTTTTGAGTGATGCTACATAAAAAGACATCATTACAAACCGGCAATCACCGATTATATATTTCTATTGGTTCAGCTGAAAAACCAGAAAATTACCCCCAAATCCACAAACCCAGATCATTGAAATATTATAAACCTTTGAACTAACACCTATGTGACGATGACACCCCAACACAAAAACCATTTTCTCCCCTAAGATGTCAATATTTTCGCTTATTCTGAAATTGCAAGGCTCTCACACACACACACACACACACACACACACACACACACACACGTAAACACACATGCATGCAGAGGAAAGGAGGCAGATTTCTAGAGGAACTGAGATTCCTTCCAGTCTTGGGAGTAGCACACTTTTACCCAAGGATCTGGGGGTGTACATAGCGGACTTTGTTGCAACGACGTCCTTACATTCCCCGTAGGAAAGGGATGGCCTGGGAGTCCTAGTAGCTGTCACGGCAGAAGTAATTAATGACCAAACTCTTGCTGAGCTCAGATAAGGAATCTGGACACTGAAAGCTTATCTGTTTCTGTGTTTTGTATTTGCTTTCTTTTCTCTAAGTTTCCTAAGAAGGATTTTTGGAAAAGCTCTGACCTTAGGGGAGCAAGAAGAATTAGAATGGCAGAGAGGTCAATGGTTGCAGTCACATCCAGGGTAGAATACACTGTCTTATTTATGGTCCAGGCAAATCTGCTGATGCAAGCAAGCAACTGGAGAAGGAAAAGCTGGTGGCAGCTGAGGATGTGGGAGTTTCCCCTGAGTAAATACTGTGACCTAGTGATATTAGGAGAAAAGATGCATTTCTCCTTGTAGTGCAAAGATAGCTGGGACACGCAGTTAACCAGGGACTGGAAGCCCCTGCTTGCAGCTTTTCACCTGAACATTCATTCTCATCCAGTCACTCATGTAACCTGAGAAGGGGTGCATATCTGAAATGTTGGCAGGGTTCTGTGCCATAATTCTGCTCAGCTGTGGCTTTCTCTCCACTCGCCTTACAGGGGAGCACCTTTTAGATCAGGCTCTTCGACTTGAGAGTAAAGGCTGAATCTCAAAAATACCAAGGTTCAAATGTTGTTGAGAAGTACCAGCTTAAGAGGAGATTGCCAGGGGTCGGGGCTGGGTGAAGGAGTGAGATTCCTTTGCCAGGGTTAGGGTTAGCTTTAGAAGAACTGTAACCTTGGTATACTGTTATCTGAGCTCCTCGTTACAGAAGTCCAATTTACAGTCACCAAATTAAAAACACAGATACTTCGTAGTTCTACATTTTTTTACTCATGCTGGAGGCCCACTGCTTATTGATCCTAATTGATAACATCAGTGCCTGACCTGAGTTCTTAGACCACTTTCTCCTAATTTTCAGCTTCACTTATAGGCAAAGATTGGCCTGTAGCACAAACCAATGGAGTTATCAGAAAAGGTTTATTCTTTCTCATTTTATCAGATTATTCACCATATACTTTGGCCCCATGATCAAACTAGACTATCTAAAATCTTAAAACACAGTGGAATTTTTCCAGGTTAACTGTATCATGCGACCTTCCTTCCACTCGTCACAATTTGGCAAAAATCAATCTTAAAAAATGCTCAAAATGCAAGAGAAAAGAAAACAGATGCAGCTTTTCAGTGTGTTCTCAGCCCCAAAATGACCTTATCCAACTAAGTAGGACGTTCGAGGTATAAAGGACTTTTCTTTTGAACTTTATTTAAATAGTGGTTAAAGAATTACTGAAAATATCAGTATTATAGTAATATCTCAAGGAACTAAGCATCATCATGTAGCCACAGTTATGGTACTAAGTTGCCAAGTTTGCCAAGATTACATCCCTTTTTGGGGAAGTGGGGAAGTGCAGAAAGAGTTCTTGAATTTTTTTTCCTTCGATATTTCATGGACAGGAAAATATTCCGGAGAAACAACCTAGAACTTCAGAATTAAGATGATATATTTTCAAAAATCCAATTTACAGTCACCAAACTAAAAACACAGATACTTAATTGAGACTTCTGCAGTCAGAACAGTCTAGTAAAAAGTTGTAAAGTGAGAATTTAATAGGATAAGTGCCAGTTCCTGGCTAAATACAAACTTTTAAGACTTTAAAAGATATTTAATATGTTGAAATGATTTAATATTTAACTTCGTCAAAAAGAAAGAAATCCAAACATTACTGGGAGCTTGAATATCTCTCAATATCAAAAGATATGATACCTGCTATGCTCTGAATGTTTGTGTTCCCCCCAAATTCATATATTGAAACCTAATACCCAGTGTGATAGTATTATGAGGTGGGGCCTTAGGTCATGAGGGGGAGCCCTCATGAATGGGATTAGTGCCCTTAGAAGAGACCTTGTGTTCCCCCCAAATTCATATATTGAAACCTAACACCCAGTGTGATAGTATTATGAGGTGGGGCCCTCATGAATGGGATTAGTGCCCTCAGAAGAGACCCCAAAGACCTCTCTTGCCCCTTCCTTCTGCCATATGAGAATGTATAGGAAGTAGGTTCTCACCAGACACCAAATCTGCTGCCATCTTGATCTTGGGCTTCCCAGGCTCCAGAATTGTGAGAAATAAATGTCTGTTGTTTATAAGCTACTTAGTGTATGGTATTTTGTTATAGCAGCCCAAACAGACTAAGACAGCCCATATCCAGAGCCTGCGTTCTTCTACCTGTCTCAGTCCAAGGAGTTACACGACTCAGCAATTTACAGTATCCACATACATTAAGGTCTGACTGCCTTAACATAGGCCCTCTCCCTTCCAGAGGGGCAGCTGTAAATGTTGGGATGCCTCCTGTGCAATGAGAATAAAAAGTATCTTTTTATTGTAATACCCGAGTCTTGATCTGATTCTTGTATTCTTTTCCTGTCGCCTGTTATTATTCTACATCAGGGTACAACTAGATAAAAGAACTTTTCCACTCCTCCCTAGGGCAGGGGTGCAAGGCTATTTCTGGAAAAACATTTACATCATTACTTCAATTCTTTTTTGGTTACGATTCTCTTGTGAGGAGGGCCTTTGAAGTGCAGGCCCACAATCCCTTTTCTAAAGTCCTTGCACCACATGTATTTAAAATCCAAACTTTCTTCAGATATCTTGTCCATAGCATATATCACACAAAATTCCAGTGGGGTCTGAGCCAGCACATCATGAATCAAATACATTAATATTTCTGCAGTGAAATATATGCATTTTCATAATAAATAAAGACTGTCATCAGTGTCAAATCAAATCAGGGCAAGCTTTGCCATCAAATAAGTTTTAGTGTTAATTTTGCAAAAGGACTTTCAGTTTTCTAGGCATTTGGATTTTGAAATCGAGAGTAAGAAGAGTGTAGATATGTATTAGCTTTTCAAAGAGTTAAGACAAATCGATCTATTGGTGCTTAAAGAAAGAAGAGATGGAATGTATTGCAAACAACCTTTCAAAGGAAATATTTTGACACAGAATTTGACTAGATTAAATGGAATTTAAGGCAAGTGGGCTGTCCTTGTTCCTGGGCTCCCATCACATGACCTTGAAATATTCTGTTCCAAAGAATGAGTCTGTGACAGTGCTGTTGTCATAGATGCTGAGCTGCCTCATTGCTCTGCAGGAAAAGGGCCCAGAACTGGGCAGAACTGACCATTCTGAGACTCACGGGAACATTCCCAGACTAGAATAAAAACCTCAACAAGGCAAGAGTGTAGGAGCCAACTGGCACGCTTGCACTATGACTCCATGACAAAGTAATTACACGGTTGATTTTTTAAAGATACAAAAACCAAAAAAAAAAAAAGAATTGCTTTTTTCCTTAACATTAGGGGAAAATGTTTTTTAAAGTCCTAATCTTTGAAGTTTTCAAGGTGGGACTGGGAAGATTATATTCTGAATTGTTGTGCTAGGGATTATATACTAGGAAAAGGGTAAACTGTCGCTGAGATGAGGGGTTGTCGTCAGTGGAGACATATGGAGATAAAGGCTTACTTGGCTTCCAGGGCCAGTGCAATGATGCCCGCAGCCATGGGGGCTGAGGCTGATGTCCCAGTGTGGTTGTCCGTGCAACGCTGCCTCAGATCCGTAGTGATCTAAAAGACAGAAGTAAAAAAAATTTAGGGCTCTCGGGTCAATGCGAATCACAAGTAGAAAGAAATTTACTCATAAAAGTGGAATGGAGAGTTGTTGAAATAGTTGTTTTAAATTCCTTGTTCCTGTGCTCCTACGACCATATCACTTCCAGAGAATCGCCTGTATAAATCAGCTTTGAAAAAGGGGAGGATTTGGAAGTTGGACTCTGCTTCTGTTAAAAGCAGGGTCAGAATGAGGGTGAGTCTTTGGCCTGAAACATAGGGTTGTGTAAATGTCTCTTTAAATTTTACGCCCTAGACACCTCACTTGCTAGTCCCAGCTCTATTTAAAGCTAAAGTTCTTTCATTACCCCCAACATTTTTAACAAGCAAACATGTCGAACCAGCAAACCAAATGCTGGTCCTTGCCCTCTTAGAACATTGTATTGGCAGAGACACAGGTTTTAAGCAAAAGGTAAGCTGCACCATGGAAGGAACATTTGCTTAAGGACGTGTTTTTAGAATTCATAGAAATGTTACATGAATGAACCAAGGATTCCTCAGACATTTAACATAAATACTACAAACAAGGCTCATCGCAGTGCACTTAATATGAAATAACAGCACTAAGTGCATGCTTGTTATATTATAGGAGGAAATTAGCCATTTCTCCATTTTTTAAATCAAAATGTGAGAACTAGATCATTTTTTTCCTCTTGCATTGAATCTTGTTCACTTCAGCTGTGGTCCAATAACATTTTCATCAGCAAGGGCAGTGTTTTTTAACCTTTTTTTCATGACCATTTCACTGAAGGAAAAAAAAAAATTAAATTCAGATTCTCCTTAATAAGAGAAACTCAGCACTGTGAGATAAGAGTTTTCTAACCATTGTAATAGCTAAGATTTTAAAAATCCTTTATTCCCAGCAAGCATCCATTTTTACTCCCTTGGGCCACTACAATGATGCCCTGACCATTCTGAGACTCACAGGAACATTTCCTTGGGGCTGATATCACTCTTGCTGGGAATGCACAAGGCTTGTGAGAGGAGCTGGCGGTCTCACTGCAGTTATTGGAAGACACGGATAATGCTTTCTTCAGCATCAAGACAGAAATGAGATATACTCTTATTTCACAGGTGAGAAAAGTAGGGTGAAAGGTCATCAGAAAAGTGTAGGAGGATAGAGGCATCTGAAAAAGTCCTGTTGTTCAAAGGTGCATCCTTTAAGAAAAGTGCTGAGATTAGGTGATTTGGGAAAAAATTTGATCTTCACAAGAATGCTGTATAACTCCTTAGAAATAAGTCCTCCTCTAAAAATTTCCTCAGTGTCGAATGAAGATGTCTTCGCGGACTCTTTGTTATGGATCTAGATTGACATCTGACTGACAGCTTCACAAGAGGCCATCGGTTCTCATTGTCTTTCCTTTGTTCCTTAGATATCTCTAATTACCAGATTATCCAAACCAGTTAGGTACTAATACACAAGAAGTGGGAGGAGAATAAACAAAAACATACAGAACCACATAGATATGGTGGTGGGAGAGAGGAGACGAGGCTTGCTCTCATTTCATGAATAACTGAATGGTGTGAGGGAGCTCTGACGGCATGTTTAACAAGCAGAGAAGGTTGTTTCTTGATTAACAGACTTTGCTAGCCATCTTTTGAACCGCCACACTGGATGCTTGCAAAGATATCTGGGTAAACAGAGCCCTACCCACTTCTGCACGTAAAACCTTTCTGTATTTTCAACTGTTGACTTTAAAAAGGTATTTTTTTTTTATTGCGGTAAAATCATATTACACAAATTTACCCTTTTACCAACTTTTAAGTGTAAGTACAATATTGTTAACTATATACACAGCGCTGTACAACGGAATTCCAGAACTTTTCTTCTTGCCTGACTGAAACTCTACCCATTGAACAACTCTCCTTTCTCCCTTCCCCCCAGATCCTGGTGACCACTAATCTACTTTCTGCTCGTATGTGTTTGACTACTGTAGGTACCTCATAGAAGTGGAATTACACAGCATTTTTTGTGACTGACACATTTCACTTAAAAAAATAATGTCCTCGAGGTTCATCCACATTGTAGCATAAGGTAGGATTTCCTTCTTTTTGGGCTATATAATATTCCACTGTGTGTATATATATTTTCTTCATTAATTCAGCCATCAGTAGACATTTGGGTTGCTTCTATCTCTTAGCTATTGTGAATAATGCTGCAACGAACATGGGTGTGCAAATCTCTCTTGGAGATACCATTTTCAATTCTTTTGGATATAGACTTAGAACCGGGACTACTGGATCATTAAAGAGGTGTTTTTACTTCACTTGAAACTATGAGTAAATTTTGCAACATTATTTTCCAAAGGCCTGGTCCCTAAATCAATGCATAAACAGCCCAGAAGCAGCCTGTTTCCATGTTTTCAGACATGTGATTGTTGAGAGATGGCCTTGCTGCATTCTTCCCATTTTACCTCACCCTCATGGTCACATTCCTTTGCCAAGTTTTATTTTGTTCAATGACTTGTGCCTGGATTCAAGACTTTTCACAATGTTTTCACACTTGGCTTACTTTACTTATTCTTCAGCTGCACCAGACACTTTTGATGCACAGAAACAAATCCAGAATAAACACTCTAAGTATGTGTAGCATTTTTGAGTCTGATAAATTATCACCTCCAGCCAATCCCAAACATAAACAATAAAAATTTTAGGATATTGGGCTTGCAATAGGAATATTCTCCATCCATATTTGGATAGCAGGTATATACACACATATATTATACATCTAATAATATGCTTAAATAAAAAAAACTACGCAGTACTTTTATATATGAATACCAATTTAGTTGTAAATGCTATTAATACAGGCAAGACTGTAGAATTCCAAGTCAGCATTGTGCTTTTATTTTTTTCGACCATTTTAACTAAAAGAAACTTGAGTATTGAGTAGGAGTGAAGAGGGAGTGGAGCAGGAAGGTGAGGGAGAGGCGGAAGGTTGAAAGAAATGGAGAGAATAGAAACAAAAACATCCTCACTCCCTTCTCATTCTGCTTTAAGTGGAAATTCCAGCTGGGTCATTTCAAGAGGAAGTTACTGTCAGTGGTAAAGATATTTAGGTGTAAATTACCAGAAAGATCTAAGGCAAGGTTTTCATCAGTAAGAGAAGCCACAGTATCAGATAATTTTTATGTCTATCTTTAGAACGAAAAGGCAAAGACCACCAAGGAACATGCAATCTTGAAGAAAAATGATGTTCTGAAAACTGGAACCACATGGGGCAACCTCATTAATCACAACACATGCATACAAGATCTGACGGCGTAATTTAAAGGAAAAGCTGCATTCAGTCCACATCATGGGGCAGGGAGTCGAGAGATTCTACATGTGAAAACGGAATAATAGAGCACTTCAAGTTGAGATTCCATTTTAAAGAAGGTCTCGGAATTTGATTTCAAGCCAAGTGGCCCATCTTGCACGCTGCGAATTCCCTCAGTTTACTACCCAAACCAGAAACGAAATTTTTTCTCCACAAAATTCTCACGTTGCTCAAGAAAATATCATTTCTGTCATTCAGAATGAAAGAAACAGGAGATGACACCAGGCCCCAGGCCAGATCAAAGCTGTCGTTGATCAGAAAATTAGATTTTCAGCCCGTCCCAGGATGAGTAGCAGATGGCTTTTTGGACTCCACAAAGTTAGGGATGTCATCTTTATTTGGTGAGAAGGGGTGGGTATTGTTCAGGTTCAGTCAGGCTTCCTCCGAGAAGAACTATCACTTCTCTTATCCTAAGCTCTTATTTCCTAATATTTCACATTTCATTACTTTAGCTGTTTGAATCTTTTATTCTAGCCTGTTGATGTAATTCTCCAGGGAATCTCGGTTCGGACTGACTTTGGCCATAAGTGACAAGTCTTTATAGCAACGCTACAGTTAAGAGTTTCTATCTCCCTGATATCTTGGGATCCGTTTTATTTTGAAGGTGACATATTGTCTCATATCTGTTAAAAGAACAAATGAACAGATAGTTTTAAAACATGAAATGATTCTACTGTCTGTTAGGCTGAATGTGTTTCTGGTGTTGATTTTGATTTGGATTAGAAATGTGCCAAAAAAGCTGTTTCAGACACAGCTATGAGGGATATGGAGAGAAACAAAATCTTAAATGTGTCAATGAATAAAATAGAAAGCTGATTTATTAAGCACAGCAAAATAAAAAAAGGAACTGAAGACTAATTAATGCTTTCTGTGTTCACTGACGTCACAAAGACTGGTGTAAAATTCAATCATGACTGACAAGTCCACACAAAATTCCACTCTCGTGTTGCTATGAGAATCTGTAAACGTGAAGTGCAAAAGTAAGGTTTTGCTTACAGATGTGAGATTGCTATCACTAAAGAAGACTCCCATCTAATATTTTTGCATCTCTGTAATGTCCCCTCGGTGCTAGGTATGGAACAGAGGCACAATATTTGCTAAGTTGAATAGCTAAAGTAAAGCTCCTTTATACTCCTTTTGTTCTATACTTTAAACATTCCGACTTAGTAGGAAAGAAATCAAGGTCATTTCTTTATCGACTCTCCAAACAAAACTCACATAAACTTATAAGCAACCTACAAAAGGTATATGTGTATATGTATTTATATAATCCAGGGGCTAAACATATAAAATCCAGGGGCTAAATCCTCTCCCAGCTACTATTGATATCACCACTGCACTGCTTCTAAAGCTATCACCACGAGCAACTTGCAATGAGCGAGGCAATGTGCAATAGGTGTGTATGTGTGTGCACTCATGAGTGTATATAAAATTACATTTAATCCACAAAAAATGCAAGAAAGATATACTATTTATTAAGGAAACAGAAGCTCAGAAAGACTAACTTGCCCAAGGATGCACAGTTACTGAAGAGCTGGTAAGTGGTAAAGTATTAAATCCTGGAATGGCAGCAAAAAGAAAAGCTAAGTGATGGAGAACAGTCATCTGCGAGAGTCAGGATGGCACTTCCAGATCACCA